CTTTTTCAATTGATCGAACTCCATTTATATAACAAATAATAGTTTTTTCTAATTTAGTACGTTGCCATTGGGATCGACGTCCATCATATTCATCACAAACTTTAACTGAATAGAAAAATATTAAAAAAAGTAAAAAGTAAAGAATTAAATGTTGTACTTAAGAAGTCCCAAACATATCGTTTTCGTCCACCGCCAAAAAATGGAACATTAACAGTTGATTTTTTTAAACCATAGGAAAGAGTTTTTTCTAATGCATTAACAAGACCATCGTCACCACATAAAATTGGTGTTATTAATCCTCTCTAAATAATTTTTAGTAGAAATTTTTTGATAATAAAAAGCTTTATTTAAATTACTTTTTTTTCAGGTTCATCAAAATATTTAACTAATTGATTAATTGATCGACCTAACAATTCATAAATATCATCAGCTTGTTGATTTGATTGATTTTCTAAATCATAAACAGAATCAAATTATACATGATCGATCAGAAGAGGAAAAAAAATTATTGTTAGATCAATAGCAGCGGTAGTGCTGGGATGTCAAAGAAAAAAAAGTACAAAAAAAAGAAAAAAATCATTATTTCATGCAAATCTTACGACGATAAAAATTTTCCGTGAGCCAACTGAAGACAAAATCTGTAGGGAACGTTCATATGACATTAATAATGTCATGAATTAAAATAGAATCACTGAGAAAATATCTTACTTTGATCATTGACACGTCGTAAACTAGGTGATCGTGATCGTACAGAAGCTGATAAATTTGCTTGAGATCCACCACTTATGAAACTTGTTGTCATTAATTGAGATGGTGAACCAGAATCGAATAAACCATTAGTATTATTATCATTCATTTCACATGAAGATGTCGAATCAATAAAAAGAAGTCGCTCTAAACTATCATCATCAACACCTTTACCTAACCATCGTCCACATGGAAATCTATTTTTTGAAATGAAAATTAAAAAAACAATAATTAGAAAAGATTAAAAGTAACAAACCGATAAACATTGTTTGTTAATTGATTTCGAACAAGAACATGATCAATATTCCATCGAGGCATTAAACCAGTATTATCATGACCTATTCGAAGTGTTGTTAATTGACCCAAATTTTTGTATCAAACAAAACAAAAAAATAAAAATCATCATGAACTTTTGTTTTTCATTCTATTTCATATAAAATCAAGATTTTACTTTGAATTTATTTTCAAGTGTATTTTTTGATGGTAATGGTATAACTTTTGTTGATCCCAAAATACCAGCTAATGCAATATATGGATTAACAGTTGTTGTACTAGAAATTCCTGTTGCTCGTGCTCTGGTAGGAACAATAATAACATGATAAAAAATTTCAATATCTGGATAAGAATTTGAAAAACATTTATAATCAAGTAATTGAAGCGATTCAATATGAGCTAAAAATTGTTTTCTTAAATCTCCATCATCGGTACGTAAAAAAGCTTCACGTTTATATAAAGCTCGTAAAAGATCACTATGAGAAAATAATTCAGATAAATGACGAGATAAAAGACGACGTTCAAGTGCCAAACGAACAAATGCACGAGCAAAACCAATTTCAGATGCTGAAACACACACTGGATTATGTCCAAAACATAATTCAATAGAATGAAAATCATGTGCTAGAGATGTATTCGATTGATTAGTTATCATCATATTATCGGATGGAGCAAGATTGAATGCTGAAGTTGCCATTGCTAATAGAGGTGATGAACGTACTTGATGTAGGCTCATTTGAGGACGTGGAAGAGTATGAGAACCTAATAAATACACGCAGGTCAACGATTCCGGCCTCCGGATTCTGCCGGAACCGGCATAATTTCCGGCCTTTTCCCGCCGTTTCCGGTGTCTTTCCGGCCGGAAAAATACCCGGACCTTGGAAGCAGTATTCCGGTCGGAAATTTCTCGTACCCGGAAACGGAATGTTCCGCTCATTTCCCGACACCGGGTATAAGCGGGAAAAACCTCGGAACCTCCAGGAACCCGCCGGAAACCCAGAAGGAACTGGCCGTTTCCCACGGGAAAAACGTGATAACCGGTTTGAAAGATCTTTGAAAGATCTTTCATGGATCTTTCAAAGATCTTTTTTTTGAAAAAATTTTTTAATGCAGAATCGGACTTTTTGAGAAAAAATAAATTTTTACTAAAACACCCAAAATTTTTGTGAAGAAAATTTTTCTTCGAGAAAGATCTTTCAAAGATCTTTTTTTTGAAAAAAATTTTTTAATGCAGAATCAGACTTTTTGAGAAAAAATAAATTTTCCTTAAAACTCTGCAAAACTTTTTCGAAAATAAGACTTGAGGACCCCAGGGTTCGGGACCTTTACTAAACAGTTACCAGTTAACCGGCAACTGGTAACGCCGGTAAGTTTTCCGTTGCCAGTTACCTGGCAAAGTAATGGGTGGCTTCACATCCCTATGTGGTGCACGACATCAAGTCGGTCTTTACACATTACGTGTAGCGATTCGAATGTCTTTGAAATCGGATTGTAATAACTTACTTAGGTTCTTCGGGGTTTCGGAAGAGTAGTTGCTGTGGGGCACGACATTAACTCTGTCTTTACACATTACGTGTAGGGATTGTGAAGTCTTTCAAAGATCTCTGAAGTCATAGAAAGGTCTTTGAAAGGATTATGATAGATTTTGGACACTCTCGTAAAGATATTTGAAAGATCTTGTAAAGTCTTCGAAAAGTGTTTGAAAGATCTTTCAAGGTGTGCAAAACCATGAGAAAGTCTCACAAAGACGTTTGAAGGTCGTTGAAAGTTCTTTCAAAGTCTGAAGAAGTCTTGGACACATGTTTGAAAGATGCTTGGAAGTGTGAAAGATGTTTGAATGTCTTTGAAAGGTCTCTCAAGGTGTGAAAAAGTCTCAGAAAGGCGTGGGAAAGATGGCTGAAAGTCTTCGAAAGGTCTTTGAAAGAGTTTTACAAAGACGCATAAAGATATTGAAAGAGTTTTACAAAGACCCATAAAGATATTGAAAGATCTTTTGAAATCTTCGAAAAGTCTTTGGCAAGTCTTTCAATGTCTGCGAAAGTCTGAGAAAGACGTTTGAAGGTCGTTGAAAGATCTTTCAAAGCTCAGGAAGTCTCCCAAAGGTGTTTGACAGGTCTTGGAAAGGCTCAGGGTGTCTTCCAAAGATGTTTGAAAGATCTTTCAATGTCTTCGAAGGGATTTTGAAAGATGTCTCAAAGTCTTTGGAAGATCTTTCAAAGGTCTTTGAAAGGCCGGATATGGGCTTTGTCAACGAAACGGAAAAAGATGGGATATAACCGGATCCTGTGATCGGGATGAAATCCCGGAACCGTAGTTAGGAACCGTACCAAAAACGGCAGGTATACGGCTCGGATCCGGTTAGAGTGCTTTGGAAGAGGAAACTTAGTCGGGAACCACACGGGAAACGACGGCCGTATCCGAAGATCGCACCCGGAGGCAGGAATGAGCGGGAACTAAGCAGGATCCGGATGCCAGATCCAATTTTGGAATAGTGCTTCCAGGAATTGGCCGGAATTTCTCGGGATCCGGCCGTTTCCCGCCGTACATCTTTGACCTGGGCACAGAAAAATAAAGTTAACAAAATAAAACAAGAAAGTATATTGCTTACGATGACCACTGGGAGATTGTGATCGACTAGCTGATGAACTACGATTTACTAATTGTTTTCTCATTAAACACCAAACAACAGCTAAATGAAAAATTCCACTTAAATTTTAAGAAAAAAAATTTGTACCTGGATTTTCATCTTTATTCAATGTTACTGGAAGACCGGCATGAGACATTTGTGTTGATTCATAATTTATAAGTTTAACATAATATTTAATATGATTCCATAAAGCAGATTTTCCATTTGGTTTATGATGAAGATCATGAGACCAAGTAAGTTCAAGTAAATCACAAAAACCTGCTATTAAAACATTTTCTTCTAAATTAACCATTGATGATGAATCAACATTTTTTATTGCTGATGAACCTTCAACAATATCTTCCATTTTTTCAATAACCATTCGTTTTGTCTTAACAAATAACGAAAGAAAGAAGACTTTTTTTTACAAAATAAATTTTTATTATTTACTTTAGTAGTACATTCTTTAAGTAATTGTTGAAAAACAACATCATTTTCAAGAAGAACAACAGTTTGTGGATGTTCATTAGAAGCAACTGTTTGTTGTTTTTTTATTCTTGTAATACGTCGTCGTGGATGTTCTGTTTGAAATGATCGAGTTAAACGAGAATTTCTTTTTGAAATTCCACTAGATAAAGATGAAGATATATCTATGGATGTTGTTGATTCAAGTAAACTTCCATTAAGATTTTCAAATAAATAAGAATTATTCGATGTAGAAAATGAATTATCAAGTGGACGCACTAATGGTGCATTCATTACAATTAATGAAGATGGAAAAGGTGAAGTAAAACGACGACGAGTTTCTTCATCAATTGAATCAATTGATGAACAATATTGATAAGTTAAATCACGACAATCACGATATAAACGAATATGATCAGAAAAATACTTTGAATACAAAAAATAAAAATAAATTCATATGAAAGAATTTAATTCAAAAAAAAAAATTTTTTTTACTTGTAAATGTTTATTAGTTAAACCAAAAAGATGATTATCTTCATTAAATTTTGATGCAATTTTACTATCAACAAATGAAACAAATGATTGTGTTTCCATAAATGCAAGTAAAAAAGGCACATGTGGTTTTGGTTGATCAGCAATAAACATAGTTCGATCAAAATTTTTTGTTGTACTTCGTTGTGCTAACAATTGATCAACATTAGAATATTTGCCCACTGGTGGATAACATATAAATGCATCCATTTGACTAAATAATTGGGCAAAACGATTGATAAATGATGCACGTAAACAATTATTCGCTGATATTCGATGTAATTCAGATTCATTAAATAAACATGATAGTCTACTATTACTATTTTCATCATCATTATTATTAATAACAATTCCAGCACGTTTAGCTATTGCTGCAAGTCTTGCTAATGCTTGACTTGGTTCATAATTAGATTCTTTTAATAAATTTTCATCATCAATATGTGTCCAATCTTCACTCTGTTGATATTTTTGTTTAGTTTTAAAAGATTTTTTTGGTAAATTACTATGAATATAATTATTAAATCGTAATAAAATATTATTTAATTTATTTATAAAACAAGTTCGATCTGGAAAACGTGGCATATCATCAGGCAATTTAATATGTCCAGTATCAATATGAACAACGCATCGTTGAACTTCAAATGTTAATTCATCGCTTGTATCACTAGATCTACCATCATCATCAATATTTTTACCATCGGAATTTACATTCGATTTATTTATACAAAGATCCATTATAGCAGGTACAGGTACATCAAGACATACAAATGCAGCAGTAAATACAATTGGAACATAAAGTAGTGTCCATTGAAATGGAAATAACAGTGATGTTAAACATTCAGCAACAAGCATTAAACGTGTATAATCTAAATTAATTATTTTAATAGTTACAATTTTTTGTTTTATTAATCAGAACAAAATCTTGATTAAATTAGAGTAACTAGAGAGGGTGTGGGTGTGGGTGTGGGTGTGGGTGTGGGGTGGGGGGGTGGGTGTGGGTGTGGGGGTGGGTGGGTGGGGGTGGGGGTGTGGGTGTGGGTGTGGGTGTGGGTGTGGGTGTGGGGTGTGGGGAGGGTGGGAATGGCAGNACCTGATGAGTTAATATTAGCTATTATGAAGAAAGTCGATCCTCAAGTGTTATTTCTTTGTTCTATGATTGATATTGGTAATAAACGTTTGGAACAACTTGCATTTGATAGATGTCATTCAATCGATTTAACTTTTGATTATTTTCGAGCGCCACATCAATTATTTATCGAACGGTTTTATTCCTATGTTATGCCTCGTATCAGCCATGATATTCAGTCACTAACAATCAATCTTCATCACATTTCGTCTATTAAAACTTTTGAAAATAATTGCAATAAAACTCTTCCAAATCTGACACACTTGCAAATTATGATGGGTGCTAAACTTTCTAAAACAGGCATACCTTATACAATAGGTAAGTTATGATTGATCGGATTTTAGTCAACTGTCTTTGTATATCGTGTTAGGTTATTTTTTGGTGAGAAAAGAAGGAAAGTTTTATCATTTGAGAATTTCAAAATCTCTTATTGATATTTTAGGTAGAATAAATTCATTCACTACTTTTATTTAGAAAATCATTACACAGTTGAAAATAATGAATGAAAAACTTACTAGATCATCTGATTTCTTTTTTAACGTATCCAAATCATTTTTCCTTCAATAAACATAGCTAGAAAAAAAAGATTGAAAAAGTTTTTGTGTTGATTTATTCTTTCATCACTATCCAAAATAACTACATTAACAAATATTATATTGTGACAATCATATGCATCTATTTTAGTAAACTTTCACATGTTCTATCCTGGAATGCGCAAACCTCTCTTTTCAATCGTACCTCAATTTTTTCTCCTGCATAGCCAGGATTATAGTGAAGAACTAGCTATCTTGTGTCGTTCATCACTCATGCGTTCTGTTCAATCGTTCGAACTTGATGATAACTGTATTATAACCGAAAGACTTGACCATGGTCAATTGCGCTTCGCTCAAACAATTCGACTGACTCATATCCGTATATCGTTTTGGAATTTCGACCAATGTGTCCATTTACTTAATTAGACTCACAACTTCATTCATTCATAGTAACTATATGGGAGGTTTCTGAACATCAACCTAATTTAAACTCTAAAATTAGATCGGTAAGTAATATTTTTCGATTTGATATTTCAATGAATTTACTCATTTAGGTCTCGTGTCCTAATTTAAAACAAATGACAATAACAATCTATCGTAATTTTAATAACTACGAACCATGTATTTCCCTTCTACAACGTTTATCAAATGTTGAATATTTAACATTATTATTAGCTATAGATAAGACAGGTACTACGCCAAATCATTTTATTGATAGGTTATTCTTAGACACAAATATTGTTCCATACATGCCTCGTTTACGTCAATTTAATTTTCATATTCGCTCAATATTAAAAAATGCTTCTCATATAATGACTGATCAAATTCATCAAAGTTTTGTAAAACAGCAACAATCATCTGATTGCGTATTCGATCATTTCAAGAATAACTATGGACAATGTCAAATCTATTCACTTTCATTTATTGGCACTCGTCTTGATTTTGTCTCAAATCGATTTCCACTCTTTGATAATAATAACACATTCTCAAATGTTACTATCTTATTACTGTTTGATGATGTCAAACCTTTCGGAAGTGTTTTCTTTGAACGTGTCGCTCGAGCTCTATCTAGACTTCGAACACTCGAGATAATTAATCAACTTGAACAACGAGAAAAACTGATAGCAACGAAAACTAACATTGACTTTGCTCATTTAACTGCACTAATTTTATACGATATTCATATGGATTATGCTGAACAATTTCTTTGTCAAATTCATCTTTCTTCTCTAATCGAACTCGCTATTGACAAAGATATATTGTTCACAATAATTACTCAAAACCAACAACGAGCAAGAGACAATTGTTCTAGAGTGGGGATAATACGAACATCCAAACCATCCTATGAATCCATAGATGCAATTCAAAACTTTTTCCCACGAACTTACTATGTCAAGCATTCAAAAGAACACAAGCAAAAACAAGTAACTAATTTATGTGAGTGTCAACTAATTTCTTGGTGAACTTTTGTTTTTCAAAAATCCATCAAATACGCATCAGAAATACATGTATTTATTTAAATATAACAGCAAAACAAAATTAGATTATTTTTTAATGAATAAATGAAGAAAGAAAACATTGATTTGATTATGAGAAAATTAGTTCGTCTCGATTTTTTATTACGAACTCCGGTTGAAGTAGTCCGTTACGATCTTCGAACATAAGAAAAAACACAGGATGTTCGAAATGAAGTTCGTAATGANCGATAGTGTAATAGTTAGAAAAACGAAAAGTCAAAAGTCTCACAATTTGAAATGAGAAAGTCACTTTTACTAAATAAAACCAGCTGAAAGTTGATTAAAAGATAATAAAAAATTCATACTAAAAACTTCGTTAGTATTTCGACTGTTTGTACAGGAAAACGTTATCAGATCGAGCTGAAAATTTCAGAAAATACTAAATTCACTACCCTCTATAATATATAAAAAAATCAGCGAATTCTAAGATGTCACTCCATCGTCAATGTCTGAGTCTCTCAGAAAGTTACTCTTAAACATTTTGTTTGATAGTTCGAAGTAAATTATTTATATTTTTTTGCTTCCTAAAAATAAATGAAGATAATCTTTCTTTTTTGACATTGTTTAGCTTCTGAAAAAGTGAAAGAGAAGGAACTCAAGATGATGAAGGATCTTCAACGATTCAATATAAAGCAAATCTATATCCGATTATTGAAGCACTTAATGCTACGGAATTAAGAGAAAATATTAAACGAATTCAATTGATTGTTATTGCTTCACTTATTGATAAACAAGCAAATTTAGATGGTAAGTGTTATCATTGATTGTTCGTAATTTATTAAAATATTTGAAAAACAAAAAAGATATTTCAAAAGACTGTGTTTACAAGCAAAAAAAAGCAGTTCCTACGTTGAGAAGAACGAAGAATACTTCATAGCATATAATTGATAATAAATAAGAGAGAAATTTATATAAAATGGATGAAGGTTTACGGTCATAGTAATATAAGAAATAAATCATATATATATATGTCGAAGAGAAATTAATAGATGTGTGAAACTTGTTGAATTTATTAATCTTAATAATGATAGCAATCGTATATCGATTTAAGTTTTTGGCATGTCTAAGCTTTGCATTCTGCTTTCTCTTTCATCGTTTTTGATATATTTTTTAATTATCATCTTTTCAATTGAATACAAGATTAGGATATCATTTATAGATTTTTAAATTTTCTGGTGATTTTAAAATTAAATTGTATTCAAAGAAATGATTATTACTGCGAGTTCATATGAATCTTAAAAGCTCTGAATACTATCAAATGTAGATTAGATGAAAATGTGTCACTTGTTGACAACAGTCACTATGGATTAGGACGTTTGTAAGAATTTAATTCGTATTTAATTCAAAAAACAAAAATTATAAGAAGTTGATGAAATGTTGTAGATGATTTTCTTTGTAATTTGATTGTCTTACACAACGAGTAAATCATTAAAATATTTATGTTCAAATAACGGTTTTTTTTTGTCTCGATTTATCTGTAGACAACCTCAAAGTCTTACTAAAACTATTGTAAATATAGGTTTATGTCGAGCTAGTGAAGTTTTTGGTGTAAAAGAACTACGTAGTAATTAGAAGTATTCGTATATTGGAAGACCAACAATTTCTTAATCTATGTATGACTGCTCATATATGATTAGCTATTAAACAAGTAAGAACATTTTATTTTAGTTAGATTGATTTTATCAAACGTGATTTATGTACAAGAACGTGAATTAAAGGATTATTTAATTGATCTACAAACTCAAGAATATACAATTGTTGTTGTTGAACAGACAATCAATAGTCAAAATTTATATGAATATACATTTCCAGAGAAGATATTACTTCTACTAGCATAAAGGAGAATCCATTGTGTATGTTAATCAACTTCTTTGTTTTTATTTCTTAGAAATGAATGTGAAGAGGTATTCCAGTTGATCTTTTATCTTTAGATTATGCAACAATGGAAATTTCACAAACCAGTGTTATTCGTTCTTTAAACATCCATGTTAATGATGCTCTGTGCATATTCAAATATATACGAAAGTATCTCAATTTTATGAAATAAAACAAAAAGATATTGGTTTTTGTTTTTTTTTCTATATCGTTATCCATGATTAAAGAAGCAACTTGTAATGCTTCACGTTTGTTGTTTTTTTAGATAAAAGATTTTTTCCGAACTTAAAAGAAAAGTCTTGTTTCTTACCGAAACTATAACATATATATGTGCTCAATTTCTTGTCATCTTTTTTTTTCAATATTCAATGAATGAATTTGAACATCATTTAGAGTCATTTTGTAAAAAGAATGATCTTCTCACATTTTGCAAAGAATTTATTGAATGGAGAGTAATTCAAAATTCTTATTCATTTCGATTTTCAAAACTTAAAAGCCTTTGTATTAATATGAAATAATGTATTTTTCATTATAGACAAAAGATAACTGTTATCAACAGTCAATACGACGAAAACAATCTAAAAAATGAAAGGTTATTTTTTATTATTTTTTTAGATACGAGGCAATGCGTATTTATGATGAATTCAAGTCGATGTTTATTACCATCTGTTGTCTTAGTTATATATTCTTGATTAATGGACTTATTATTAATTTTTTACAATTATTTTCATGTATTATATAGCCATTTAATAAAGAATTTTATCGAAAAATCAATTCCTATTTAGCATTGAGAATATGGAAGTCATAAATATTAAAATTGTGTTTTGATCAAAATTCTATAAATAGAATTTTGTTGCAGAAAAACTACTATCTGTATTTTTTGAAGTTCTCTAGGTAGAGTTCTTATGCATTGTGTATGATGAACAAGATGTTAATTATTAGCTATTTGAGATAATAAGAGTGAAGTGTGGAAAGGAAGGAAAAGTATGAAAATGATGATGAGATGTAAGACTCTCGTAAGTTGTGGGTAATAAATTTCTGATAAACTTTTGGTTTTTCTTTTCATTGAATTTAGTTTTTTTTTGCACAATGGTGGTAAAAAATCAATTGTGTATTGTATATCAATCCGAATGATCTTGAAAAAGTTCATAATGAACATGCCATTGTTATGTAAGTTCGTTCATCTCTATTATTTACATACAAAAAAAAAATTAATATATATTAGAATGAATCATAAATATAATATTGATTAGTTTGCTGGTTGGGTTATTTGTCAACGTTTAAGTATAATGTAGGTAATTTTATATCAAATTGTAATGTTTTTATTTAAGATCATATTAATTAGAGATCAAAAATAGTTGGTAAATAATCATTTAAATTAGTTCCAATAGTTGGTTGGTGTTGGATATTTACTGAATCAATATTTTTACGACATGTATGAGAAAGTGATCGTGAAACACTGGTTAAAAATTTACGAAAAATACTTACTAATTATCCAAAAAAAATTTTTTTTTAATGTAAACATATTTGATTTTTCTTTAGTGAAACTGTAATTGTTTATTTTTACAAGTATGAAAATTGTACAAGAAAATGGATTACCAAAATTTAAATATCATATTCTACCTCGTGCAAAATATTTTACTTTATTATTTCAAGGAGCGGAAAATTGAAGTAAGTTTTTCATATAAAACTAATCGTTGTCAAATATCGAAATAATTAGTTTGTAATAATATATATCAATTATAAAGCTTTTGTCTATTTTACTAATGGTACTTCTAATAATATTCAGCAGATAGAAAAGTACGGAACTAACTGCCAGACCTGAATTTTATTAATTATTAATGAAATATAGCATATTAATGTTCAGATTCACTATAGAACATATATTCTTTGGTAGTGCTTTTATACGCTTATTCGTATTTCAGGATACATCAATGCACGTACATCAAGAGAGAGAGAGAGAGAGAACATATCACGCTTTGATCATGTTGTGCATCTAAATACACCCCAATAACATTGTCACATAATAAACTAATCAATCTTTGAAATATGATGTAATAATAATGATAATAATCATATCTCTAAGTTCTGGTGTAGGGCTATGATAATTTATCAAAGAAAATTATACTCTATTCTTTATTTAGTTGGAGCTGTATATGATATAACAATTGGTTTCAAAAAAAAATTGGAGTAGCTTCCACACTTCTTAGTATACTAAAAGGATGTTCATGTCAAGCATAAATGTTTGTCAAGTAAATTTTTAATCTCCAATTATTATTTAAAACTATTCATATTATTTCTATTAAACATATTCCAGTTTGAGAAATTCCACAAGATTCTGAAGGATGTAATAACTGGGTTCATCAATTCTATCAAGAAAAAGATCAAATATACGATTATTTTATTAATCATGGTACATTTGAACGAAGAGGATTATCTCGAATGGAAATTCTACGTAATTATTATTATTATTATTTATTAATGGAAGTTTTGTTAGATGTTAATTATTGATGTATCATTATTAATATATTTATTTAAATTTCTTTGGACAAGTACATTTCTTGCACAATTGATTTTTGTTCATTTGATTTGTATTAATAAAAAAAAAATGATTATTTTGCAAATAATAAGAATCATAGAATTTGCTATTTTAGCCACTATTGGCATTCGAACGATGATAACAGTTACAGAAACTGAATGCAGTTCAAATTATGATGAAATATGTAAAGAAAAAAATAAATTATCAAATAAAAATATTTTATTCATTCTTCTTCACAATACTTTGTATGTGATATTTCATGCAAAACAAATGATAGTTGGCTATCATAAAATGACTGCTGATATTTTGTCTTTCTTTTCGAAACTTTGTTGTGTTTTTTTTCCGATATTTTATTAGTCAACTTAATAAAGAGAACATCTGTTTCCTTTTAGATTTTTTTTTTAATATAATAGAGAGTTACTTATTTTTCTTCTATATATTCGTTAAACTTTAGGTATTGTTTGTCTTTCTTCTTTTAGAGAAGAATAAAAATCATTGTTATAAGCATGTACTTCATGTTCATGGATATTTCTCAATTAAAATTTAATTTTGTTTTTTTTTTCTTTTTCTCTTATTCTTTGATGTATGCAACATTTACCTTATTTCTTATCATTTCAAAGTAGAACAAGATTACTAAGTAGTCTTATGTGTACCTCATAATGTAATCTATGACTCTTTATTCCAGAATTATGTGATGCAATTTATTAGCTTATACAAAATAGAGAAGCATCTTCAAATGGATAGTATACAGTTCACAATGGAGCAGAAAGTCCGAAATAAAATCTCAACATCGTCTCTATAATTCAAACTAGTTTTTGAAATGTGGTTATGTAACAGAGACTTTTATTGACAATCTTTTTTCTTCATGTTCCGATTTCTTTAGTTTTGAGTAGAAGAATAACTAGAGTTAGCAGTGCTAATTTGTTAAGTTTTCATTTCTATGAAAATGAAAGAAATAACATATGATATAAATCGCAACAATAAATGATCGTTACTCTGCATCTTTATTGTTGTCTCTACTCAACTCTACTCTCAACGTGACTCCTATTCATTTTTGATTTTATCTCTGATAATCATAACATAATGAATGAATAAAGACATAGACAATTATAGCTATGAAGCAATCTAATAAAGATCAATATCGAGTTGATCCAGCTCTATTGTCGAGATTATAAATCTCGTAGAAAACTAAAAAAAACTTTTTAAATGAATATAAATTCTGTAGATATAATTTTAGCTTGTTAGTGATTAGCTTTATCAATCTTTCATTTGTAAATTTGTAAAGAACAGAGATGCATAAAACTGTAAGTCGACTCCTTTTAAAAATTTAGCTAGGAAATCACTGATCAAATAATTTTTTTAACACGTTTCTGACTAGATGTTCTCCCCAGCTATTTTTTAAAAGGAGACCAATTAATGGTCTTATGCACCCCCCCCTCCCCCATCCTTTGTAAATAAAAACTATCTATTTTAAATAATATGTTTCCTGAGATTAACTTTGAAAATATTGATCTATGCGTAATAATGTTACTCTTGCAGCTTATCGTTGCATGAACCTTGTTGTAACGCTATCAGAAAGGAATTTGAAATCATTGAACAATGTCAGAAGTATTTTTACTGTCATTTTGAAAAATTTCAGCATTGCAATGATATCAAGAGTTCGTTAAAACAATATCTGAATAACTTCTGTTGTGCTTCTTTTTTTTTGACAATAACTTAGTAGAATTTACGCATATGTAAACTTGATGCGTTTATTATTATTTCTATTGTTTTATATATCTAATTTAGATGATGACATTCAATCGTTGTTTTCTCAATACTATTTGGTCATTACTACCGATTCAAGTATTTCTTTATTATTGTTTTTATATCAATGGTTTTTCAGGAGTCGTAGCCGGGGGGGGGGGGAGTACGAAGAAGAAGGGTTTTGAGAAGGAATTTTTCAAAAAATAAGAAGGAAATTCGAATAATAGAAGGAAAAGGAGGAAAAGAAGGAATTTTGCGGAATAGTGTGCTACAACGAATAGATTTTATACGACACCCAATACAAAACAATAGGAGTGAGCCCAAGGAATAAAATAAATTTTGAATTATTATTTTGTCACGTTTCAAGGACATCTTCCTTAATGGCGTAACCAGAAATAGTCGAGTGGTCGGGCACCGCTCTAAAAACTCTAGGATGTTAACTAAGAGTAATGCACTATGTCTCTTTTTTTATACAGCGAACGTGCATTAAAGAATCTATTTGTAAAAACAGATTTTATTTTTAAAATTGTACATATATGGTTCAACAGAGAAAACATTCGAAGGTCGCAACATTTTATTTGAATAAAACTCTGTTATTTTTATGCAAATCAGTGAAATTATTGATGAATTCTTCGAAAGAGACGTTGAAATGACGCTTCACTTCTAATATATACAAATTGCTCAAATAAATATCCAATATTGTATTAAGTATAGTTGTCTCTATTAATTTCATCTTGCTAAATGTTCGTTGACAAGTGGCGAACGAAACTGATAAAGTTATAGCACCGATGACATATGATATATTATTATTTGAAATGCCGATTGTCCAATAGTGATCTGCATCGGACTCCAAACTCCAACTCCAACTCCAACTCCATTGGAGTTGGAGTGGAGTTGGAGTTGCAAAATCAAAATTTCTGGAGTTGGAGTTGGAGCTGGAGTTGAGAAAAAAATGTTTTGGAGTTGGAGTTGGAATGATTTGGAGGAATTTTTTTTGAGTCAATATCGAAGTTGTATCAGAAAGGCAGTGAAATATGTTTACTTTTAGATAGCAACAAATTTATTTCATAAGTTATATAATGAACATAAATTAACTCCTTTACGTACATAAGTTACAAACTCTACCATCAGTAGTGTTCACCTTAACACAGCAGAAAAAGAAGGTAAATCAACTAATCCAAAAAAAATTCTGTATGATCAAAATCATTTAAACTTTCTTCGATGTCAAATCGTGGTTGTTTAGCCAATGTGCAAGCAGATTCTTCGGAAGACACTGAGTTCTATGTGTATTGCAAGATACAAAGTGTTTTTGATGATCGCTGACGAGAATATTATAATAAAATTGCCACAATTCACTTGATTTTGATGTTACTTTCTTTTGAACAATCTCACTGATTCATCTCGATCTGGGTGTGGGTGTGGGTGTGGGTAGGTGTTGGTGTGGGTGTGGATGTGGGTGTAGGTGTGCGTGTGGGTGTGGGTGTGTGAAAGTAGACTAAAAAAACACCCGCACCCACACACCCACACCCACACCCGCACCCACACCCGCACCCACACCCACACCCGCACCCGCACCCCCACCCACACCCACACCAACATCCAGANTCTTCATTTAGATAAACCTAGTTTCTTCAAAAGGTATCGATCATCACGAAACTTCAAAAAATGGAAGTGTTTCTTAGGATAAAGTGAGAGTTTAGCATCTTACTACGAAACGGAGTGACATTGGAATAAATGTTAGAAATGAAAATCGGTCAGTTTTTCACAAGCGTACATAATACCAGATGATTTCTCAACAAGTATGGTTGTATCGAGTGAAAAACTAAAAATGCTGCTCATCATGTAATTTCGTCGTTTTTGACGTTTCAATGAGAAAGGGTTTAAGAACATAAAAAACTTCAACTTATTGTGATGAAAATAATTTGTTTTTTGGAATTTTTGAGATGTACAAAGATAGTTGTATGTTTCAACTACATTAGTTCAGTTTTATTATGAAAACAAAATCAGATCGTCATTACTATTCATATGGCTTGTGAAAAAAACAGTATAGTAGCAGATAAGTGAAGTTAACATCGGATTGGAGTAAATTCTACACCGGTTCGACCGGGAAGTGTTCTAGGTCTTCTCATTTGAGCTCCAAGTAGACTTTGACGAGTTCTATCGAATGGTGAAGTTATATGTCCGATATCATGAACCATTCCTGTAACATTCAGAATATACGAGTTTTTCCACATGGGTCCTAGGAATTCCTAGGAGTAATTGCAGTACTGACTCGCTCAGGAAGTATTTCAGATGTTCTCATTTGAGTTCCAATAAGAATTCAACGAGCTCTATCGAATGTCGAAATCAAGTGTCGGATATGATAAAGCATAGCTGGAAAATTTCCAAAATTGTGACTTTGTCCGATGAGCTTCTCGCAACTAGAGTAGCAATTGCAGCACAGATTTGTCATGGAAGTATTTGAGGTGTTCTAATTTGTGTTTGAACTAGAATTCAATGTTCTCTATTGAATAGTGAAATGTGTTTCAGAATATCTTTCAGCAATTCGTTTATAAGTTGGCAAGTGCCGGTTTTCCCCATTAATTTCAGAGAATCTTTGAAGTAATTCCGGCATCGCTTCATGCAGGAAGCTTTCGAGATGTTTTCATTTGGCTTAGAAGTGTATTTTGATGATTTCTATCTGCATTGTCGAATTCTACTTGGCGCCCAAATGATGGCGTTTGGAGCACTTCTTAACTGAATTGGTGTGGGATTTACTCGAATCAGTTACCAACTTCAGCGGTGTTCATTCCGTGATGCATTGATGCGAGTTATGTAGAACAACAGACATATCCTATCGAATTCAACTGAACGACGATTACATTTTAAAGTTAGATCTACATGCAAAAATATATGTTCGGCTATTTTTGTGGCATCTATTTAAAAAGGTACAAATCCATATAAGAAAATATATTTTGCTATAGTAAAATACTACTTTTTCTGCAGAAAATGTATATTTATAAGATACTGTTATTTATTATGAATATAAAGTGAATTACGTGATACCGATAGATCAGAATTTGGCAGCTAAATGTAGTGATTTTACTGTAATCATCTAAGGTTCAGTTTAGTGTATAATATTCATTGGTTAGATATGAAGCGAGAGAGAGAGAGAAAAAAGAAACTAACAAATTTTGGGAGAATAATAATTTAAACGTGGAGCGAGAAGAAGTAAACAATAAACTGATTGGACATAAATAGCTATGGGAGCATGAAGAAGAAGACAAGCGATACCAAAAACTGGTTCAAACGTCATGCATAAACAATCAATAAAACCAACAAGCAAAAGCAGATAATAAGACATCAAAAATAATACGGAAACATCCACACTGAATATTTATATTAGTGATCAAGAAATTAGGATAAATTGAGAAGCAAAAAAAAACTTCAGTGTAAGAAAATATTTAATGTCATAAATTTTAACTTCGAAACTCTTGTATGCATCTCATATTTGACCAATAAGATAAATGGTGATCTACAAATATTATACACCAGGATACATTTGTATTTCATTCGGAAAATTATCAATTCAATTTATTTGAATTTGATATTAGATTAAGTGCAGTTGAAAACAGCAGTTTTTCTAAACGTCTCGATCTGAACAAATTAAGCTGCTCTAGAATACTTTTTGAATTGAATCATTTGATTTTGGACTATATTCATCTGCAAGTGTGTTCAATCTTCTTGTAATTATATGTTCAGATATTAGAAAAATATTTATTTAAGTATTTAACATACAAAATCTGAGTTTCAAGTCATTCAGTAATTAAAAATTACAAAATATAGTTACTATATTACAAAGCAACACAATGAGAAAATGTATTCATTCATTTATGTCATATTTTTATTTATAATTCTCTACAGACACTAACAAAATTGAATCTTGAATCTATTAGATAAGTTAAATAATAATGCTGTAAGAATTGTTTTCGATTGATAGATCTATAATTAATTTTTAGCATATACTGAACATGCTTATCATCTTGAACTTCAGACACAACAACATGTGCTTGAAAGAAACACAATATCTTTCTAGCGCATTACAAAATAGCACAGTAAGACAAATAGCTGTCTGTCCCATATTCATTGCTCAACATAGACATTTATAATCTGGTATATTGCGAAGGATAAGCTTAAACTCAAAAGGATAATGTTTTTCTCGTGTGTTAATGAAGAATACAGTCAGAAAGTTTTTATTCATTGTTATTTTGAACTTTATCATATATGCAGACAATAGAAATTTTGAACATTAGATGGAAGCAAATCCGCTCTAAAGGAACACCATATTTGTATGATGTCTTAAAAATTACGCTGTGAGATAAAATTTCTGCACAAACATCTGATATACCTACTTATTTTACAACACATACAACAATAACACTAAATTTTGGAGTCAGTGACATCAATTTTGAAGAAGTATTACAGTTGACTAATGCTGTACAAAAGGGTAAAATAAAATAGGTTAATTTTTTTTTTGTTTGTCTTACATTTATTTTTCGCTAGCCAATACAGATACTCGGTGCACAAAAGTTGATTAACGTATTACAAAATACTATCGAAGATAAATATTTTTTTCTTAGTTGTTTGAGTTAGATGCTCATAATATTGAGCCTAGAAAATAATGACTGTGTTGTTTTTAGAATAGTATTACTTACTATTTTCTATAAAAATGCCTCAAACACTGTTCTACTTATCTATTTAGGGAAAAAATTTCATGTTCATTTATAGTATTTCGTTGAGGCTTGCTCATATTGTTATCAAATTATTTCGTCATAGCTATGCTGAACGCCTAATCTTTCTTTAACTCATCAGTCACTACATATAACTTTGAATTGAACGTGCCAATATTTGCATTAAGCTGGTGATGCTAACTCTCCAATCTGTGCGTGAAAGTAGAGTACTCCAGTTCCTACATACATCCGATGAGTGAAAGTGTTTTTCTGGGCTTCCTACTGTTGGTAACACTCGTTTTAAAAATGTCGGATAGTATCATTACTAGAGGCCTCTTATCAAGAATTTTCAGATCCAAAACAACCCAACGAGCTGTAGTCAGTATCATTTAGTTTATTTGTTTAACTCTTAGGCAAAATTTCTTCAGTAACATTCTGAAAACCAATGTGTAATTCAATGTCTGCTTATTTCCATTAATAGAAATTATTATAGAAACAATCTTGATAAAACGATCACAGTATAGTTTTATTTATTTCGATAATAAAAAAGTCGTATCATACATTAAGAAGAAATATGAGACTTAACATTCATTATATACAAATTTTCGTGTTTCTTGTGCCATTTGCATTAACTGTGTAATCTTATGAAGACGAAATCTAATTGGACAATCAATTGTTGCACATTGAAACCATCCATCGATACGATCTGAACATGCTAAACATAATCTTTGTAAATTTGCATGTTGTCTTTCTAATTTATTAGCTTTATTTTCACATATAATCATTGTTTCTGATAAATCTTCTTCTTCTCGACATTCATTACATAATGGCGTATTTGTTAATTGTAAACATACAATACATCGTCGACGAAGATTATTTCTATGAAGATTTTCATCTAAAATTGGTCCTTGTTGTTTATCATTTGAATTTATATCAACTAATAAATTATCAACCCATTTAAAAACATTAACACCAATTAACGCTAAACAACGATCAAGTGCTGGTAAAATTTGTTTTTTTATATAATACATTGAATGAAGTTTAAATTGTGATTTATATTCAAGTACCTTATCTAATGTCCAAACACAATCAATTAAATTTGCATTTAATACTTCTGTATTAAAACCAATAACATATGGGACACGTTCACCTTGATTTGGTTCAGCTAATGGATTTGTTTTTGCACGTTCAATTGCAATACGTAAAGCCGGTACAGGTGCCAATGGATGATATCGTGATTTACCACGATATTCTTTAGCAAATATAAAATCAAGTAAATTAAAACGATTTGTTAAAATCTTTTCACATTCAAATTGAACATAACGACGTACACGTGTTATATCTTTAGTTTGAAATAATAATTTAAGTGATTGTTGAAGAATTTTCGATACAATTAAGCATGTATCACGACGAACTGTTTCAATACCTTTAGCATCAAATTTACCTTGTTGTTGATCAACTGTTTCATATGACATACCAACATAACGTTTTTTAGATGCTAAAACACTTTGCATATAAATTTTTTCGAATTTTATTTTTATTGGTGATGGATATAATTGATTAAGTGCTTTAACAAGTAAATGTGATTGTTCAAACGCTTGAGTACGAGTTGAATGTGGAAACTGAATAAATAATGAATCCTAAAGAGAGAAAAAAAAAAACTAGAATCTCGCATTACATTTTAGAAAACAAATGGCGCATACAGTATCACCATAAACAACACGACCACCAAAATGTGGATTTGTTTTAATAAAATCAATAGCACGTTCAAGAACAGTACGAGCTGTGTGTACAATTGTATCGCCAGCCTATTAGAAAAGAAAACATTAAAATATAAAGCGCTTTTTTTTTTTCAACATTTTTATTAGTTTCGATTGTAAGTCCTTTTGTATCCATACTAGAGATGTACACCACTCACGACCTAACAACAAGTATGACTCATTTTTGCAGGGCCACTAGAGTCCGTCAGCAATGACAACTTTCGTAATGTGAACAACAAATGTTCTATCACTCAGTTGCAAAAATTAAAATATTAGACAAGAGCAACAGTATTTCATGTAAGATCTCATCGTCTTTATGTTAACAGCTAGTAACATAAAATCATATCAACATGCATTGATTTATTTCTGATTAAAAAAGTTGAATTAAAAAATTGTTGGCAAATAGAAAAAAGATTGTCTTATGCAGCCTCTACAAGCGATTGCAATTAATAAGAGAGGTTTTACTGTAATGTATTTATGAAAGAGATGATCGCTAAACAGATGATACGAGTCAGTAATACTTTACCTCAACACATGGCATTCGTCCACTAAAACTAGCTGATGTATATCCAAATGTAACATTCGCAATTAATTTTAAACACAATTGTCTTGCATCTAATGTTCTATAGAGTATTGATTTTTTATCAATTAATTTCATTGTATTTTTAACCATAACACGTGTTGCTAAAATTTCTTCAAGCATAACAGGTAATATTCCTCGTCGTATATGTCTTTTAATAAATGCAACACCATTTGGCGAACAAAAAATGTCTGTATCAGGATTTAAATTTGATAGAATTTTATCAGATATTATTAATGATGTACAACCAAATTTAAATGGTCCTTGTTTATCAAGTTGATCAATACGTCCAAGACATGTTGAATAACATATATTATATGCCATTATGATTGATGGATATAATGATTGAAAATCTAATATAGCAACTGGTGTAAAATATATGTTTGAAATAGGTTCAAGTGTCAATGGAATACATTCTGGTGCACGCATATGTAACCGTTGCACATTATCTGGAGTAACGGTAACGAAATTCAAACATTTAGCAAGTCGAATCATCATTGATTCAACACGATATTGAGAACCACGTGAAAGAACCTAGATTTAAGAAAAAATAAAATAAAATTTTCATTGTCTAAAAACAAAGTCTTGTATCAAGTCGAGTTTATATATTCGACAAATTCATCACCAGACACTAAATAGTACGAGGATCGGTTGCTATACCTAGTTCGATACTAGATATGTGTGAGAATAGTATATTTTTAACTCTGGTCTGTAGAAAATCATTCCAAAATTTATTCGTAAATACTCATTTTTGGATTTATTTAACTGACGACTAGCATGTTTTTTGGCTCATCTCTCTTTGTCTCAGCAGAAAACGTCCAAAAATGAGCCAAAACGATCTCTGATAATCTTCAAAAAACACGTTTTGTGACCGTGAGCACTCCCTTTTCCCGAAATTCTAGATCGCCAATTACCGGCTGGGACAACTTTTTATAAAACTAGACCTAAGAGAAGCGTTGAATTTTGGTTCTGTACATTGCTATTCGGTACGTATGTTAATCACACGCAGTACAGAGAAATTGTTCAAATAGTCAAGTATAGGAAAAGACAAGTCGATTTTACCAATGTAAGACTCTAACACATAGTATTATATTCTGTGTCTTTCTTTTTTTGATGAATGTAGCAAACAAAAAGTCTTACTTGATAAAATTCAATTCCATAAATTCGTGCAAATTCAGATGTTTTATTAATTAAATCTAATTCATACATCAATCGAAAATTACCCGTTGAATGTGTCCAACCATAATCTAACAAAGTCACAAAATCTCTTAAACCAAATGATGGATTAACTCCTAAAAAATAAAATTCAAATAAATAAACAAACAAAAAATCATTTTTAACCTTCATCAATAAACCATTTTGAAAGTAAACTTATGTCATAATGTGGTACACGTTCATTTAATACATGATACATTGCATTTTCAAATGTATAAATATTTAATGTTATTTCACTTCTTAAAATTCGCCATAAATCAAGTAATATTCTTCCAATTATAACTGGTAAATCATCTCCATTAGCCGCCATATGACTTCGACTACGTGTTACATTATCTTGTTGTTCAGGTATACGACTGAATTTAATTAATAAATCTAAATTATATTTTAATTTTGCACGTTTTATTAAATAATATAAAGATAATTTCATATCATAACAAGCAATTATATCAGGATCTGATTGTTGTATTATTTTAGAGAATTCTTCAATTAATTCTAATTCATTTTTAACAAATTCAATTTTTTTATTTTCTAATGAACAAAAAGATTTTTCAAGAAGATTTGGCTTTGTTATACGTAAATGTTGAGTTGATAGAAGAACAGATGATTGAATTTTCCATCCATTAATTGTTTCATAAGCTATGGTATAAAATATTGAAAATATTTCATCTTTATCAAGAGCAAATGCGAATGACTCATTTGTTTGACAAAAAATTTCAAATGAAATTACTGTTAAATATTGACATTCATGTATAAGATCAGGTTGATTTAATTTATCCAAATGAATATTACTTCTATTATTAGAAAATGATTCGCTCGTATTTAAAATTGAAGATAATTTTGCTTCCACACCAATTTTATTTAAAAATGCTGTAGTTTTTGTTGATTCTTTATGAAGAAGATTAGTACGAGATTTTCTTGAAATATTTTTTTCATTTTTCAATGATCTATTAGTTTTCGAAGAAAACAAAGTTTAAAAATTCAATAAGTGTTTTATATTTACTTTGAAATCGATATTTTATAATGTTCAGGTTGAGGTGGTGGTTGTAATGGTCCATACCATTGAGCACTTTTAACATAAATAAAACAAAGAATAAGAGCGGGCAGATAAGGTCATCTTTTTATCCTAAATAAAATTGATTTTTGTTTTATCGACTCACAATAATACGTGATATTTCACATGTTAATTTTTGTACAGCTGATTAAAAGGTTTTTTAATCTTGTGGTCCTCACAGAATTTGTTGATCGACTTCTCTATTTCGAACTGAAACTGGAAGCTTCGTAAGCTCATCATAGAAGATAAGAAATAATGTGAACTTTGGATTTGTTTACATCATTTTCAATGTTTCGTCGGATGGTAGACTCAAAAAGCAAATGATGCGTCAAGATTTTTGCAGGTTCTCTAGACGATCTTTCTGGAACCGTAAAACTTTTAATAGAAATCGATTTTCCTAGCAACTCCTACAATTCTGGGCAGGTTTACCAAAAACTTCTAAAAAACATTGATGCACCATTTTTTTGGCTTTTGAGTAGAACATTGAACATGACGTACTCAGTCTAAATTTCACATTGCTTCTTGTCTTCCATAATGACATCTCGAAAATTTCAATTTTCGTTTGAAATGGAGAAAAATAGATTTTAGAATGATAATTCAAAATTTTATAGCTGACTAGCGGAGGTACCCGATGTTAGTCGAAATATTTTAATAATATATACTTGCCATATTAGAAAACAATATCGTTATGATCTACTATCAATTTTTGAAATTCGATATCGCAAAATATGCTCAAATCACTTTCTGTTTTCAACTGATGTTTTCGTCATTTTTTATTTTTTTAAAAACATTTCTATCCTTTTCAGTGTTCTTTTTGTTTGATCGACTTCTTTTATTAGAAAAGACACTTTAATGAAATACAAAGTCTATTGCAAAGCTGTTTGATACACAAACTTCTTGGTTTTCGCATCAAGGGCTAAAACATAGAAGTTCTTTCCAGTTCCAACTCTCGAGCATGCTACATTCAGTTGATCATGAGAAAAGGAAGTACTATCTAGATTAATACCAGCCACCTTAAACAAATGCTCTTCAGCGTTGTTGCTGGACATCGCGAAAGCAGCAGATACAGGTAATTGAAGACGCTTGAACTCAAACGGTATATCAGTAAGAGCCATGACTGTTCCCGGTATGAATACATGGTCACTCTTTGCACAACCTGTCAAAATTCTTTTTCTTAACGTACGTTAGAGATAGAGATAGCGATTAAGGAATTTTCGATTTTTACAACCTGGGTAGAGTTACACCCAGTTGCGTTCCTTTCCTTGCTTGTCACGTAAATCTCGTCTCAATTTTTCTCTAGACTAAGGGGCATGCCAGAGAAAGTTTGATAGCGCTGGTTATTACCGGCATCAAATGCACAAATAAGTGAAAGACAGACGTCGTTGTTTATATAAACAAAAGAAGAAACGGGCTTCCATACCATATACTCATATTTAGTACTTGAATCCCTTATTCGAATTCATTGCCACAGAAAGCCCTTACCTAACTTTTCTCCTGACAAAACAATTTTGATTAGCTAACTTCATGGAAGCTGATTTCCTACTGGCTTTCGGACACCCAATCAGATTTCGAGGCGAGCGGACCTCAGATTCTAACTGATCACGTCTAAAATCCCCTGCCTCGTCATTCTCATGAAAGTATCAGTGTTTGAGTCTATATTCTCCTACGGGCTGAATTCCTGTTGGTTGCCAAACAGCCGATCAGATTTCGAGACGAACGAACCCTAGATTTGAACCCACTACCTCAAAAAAAAACCCTTGCCCAATTATTTCCTTGAAAGTATAAGTGTTCGGGCCCATTTTCTTAAGAACAGAGTTCCTATTGGTTTCCAAACAACCAATCAGATTTCAAGGTAAATGGGCCTCACATTCAAACTCACTGCCTGTAAAAACCTCGTGCCTCATCATTTCCTTCAAAGTATAAGCATTTGGGTCTATTTTCTTAAGAGCTGAATTCCTATTGATTTCTGGACAACCAATCGGATTTCGAGGCGAATAGATCTCAGATTTAAACTCATTGCCTCTAAAAACCCCATGCTCCATCATTTCCTTGAAAGTATAAGCGTTTGGGTCTAATGGCTTAAGAGCTGAATTCCTATTAGTTTCCAAACAACCAATCAGATTTCAAGACGAATAGACCCCAGATTCGAACTCACTGCCTCTGAAAATCCCTACCTAATTGTGTTTTTGAAAACGCAATTTTGATTAGCTGGCTTCTTAGCAGCTGTGTTTCTATTGGTTTCCGGGCAACCAATCAGATTTCAAGGCGAATGGACCCAGATTCGAACTTATCACGTCCAAAACCCCTTGCCCCATCATTTTCCCGAAAGTATAAGTGTTTTCATCTATTTTCTTAAGAGCTAAGTTTCTATTGGTTTCGGAACAACCAATCAGATTTCGAGATAAACGGACCCCAGATTCGAACTCATCGCCCTCGAAAACCTCTAGTTTCACATTTTCTGTGTGTTCACGAAGTGGTGCTCAGTAGTAGTTCTATAGTACTGAATACTGCAGTCTGATTGGTTAGCAACATAGGCAGGCTTTTTCCAGGCGAAGGATCAACATTTTTTTAGAAAAAGTAGACGTTGACCTTCTCCTGAATGTCAGGAAGATTCCTGGAAAGTTTGGTTGCATTTGCTCGGATGGTGTGGAAATGCATAACGAACAAACAGACAAACATTCTTCTTTATATATATAGATACGTCATATTTCTGAGTCATGAAAAAGAATAAAGACGTCATCTTTGTACGTAAGAAAAAATGCATACGTCATTGTTGTAAGTAAAATAAACACAAACACATTACTTTATGTATATAGATGAGCGCTCAGACGGCCTTCGGCTGCCTTCGCTATCAATTATTTTAATTTTTTGGAATGCTGCAATCCTATTGGTCAGTTTCCTAGGTTGCCTGTAGCAAGCACAGGATTGGCATAGATAGATGGAACATGTGAAGTGTTGTATATGAGCGCTCAGACGGCCNCTATTGGTTTCCAAACAACCAATTAGATTTGGAGGGAAATGTATCCCAGATTCGAACTCAGCGCCCTCGAAAACCTCTAGTTCCATGTTTTCTGTGTGTTCATGAAGTGGAGCTCAGTTATAGTTCTATAGTACCGAATGCTGCAACCCTATTGGTCGGTTTCATAGATCGCCTGTAGCATGCGTAAGATTCGTTTTTTTTTTGGAAAAAAAATGCATGTCGACCTTCCCCTGGGTGTAAAGACCATTTCTGGAAAGTTTCATAGCATTTGCTCGTACGGTCTTCAAATGCATAGCGAACAGACAAACAGACAAACATTCTTCTTTATATATATAGATTATGATGGTAAGGAACTTTTAGTAGTTTGTAATCGAGTAAACTACATTGTTGCAGCTATTAAGTATCGTTTTCATGACTTTAGAATAATCAATAGAGAAGATACATTGGCAAAAAACTCGATATAAGGTACAATGAGTACCTGAAAAAGTATTGCTTTTCTTGTTTTTTAAAAGATTTCGAGTACTTAATATACGTTTCAACGGAATAAAATATATAAAGTTTTTCAAAGATTACGAGATACAAAAAACCTTCTAGTCAGCTGTGCAAAACCTAACGCGTGAAATATCATGTCTTGCTGTATAACGATAAGAAAAAAGTGAATAGTTTTGGGAAACAAAGAGATGACCTTATCTGCCTTCATCCTTTAATATGATAATTTAAAAATGAATTTACCCTTGATTAGCATAAAAATCAATTTTTTCTTCTTCAGTTCGTTGAGTATCAGTACGTTGATAATGTTTAGAAACAAATTCAGGGATATTTGAAAACTAGATAATTTTAATGAATCTAGTATATAAGAAAAATCAATTTAATAAAGTTTACCAATTTAACAAACGGTGTTTCATCTTCAATATCTTGACAAATAATTTGTGAAGAAATTTTTTGATGTAATATATTCGTAGTTCGTTTTCGTACGGGTGGTCGAGCTATTGTTTCTAACCAACAATATTTCGATGATATTGAATCGCTTTTATTGGCTGATTCAGTGAAAAAATTTTGTAAAAATGTTTTTAATTCTTCTCGTTCTTGTTCACTTGTTTGAGATGATGGTTCATTACTTGTTACTGTCAATGTTGGTGATAATACATTTAATGAATCAGACTCATCATCTATTAGAAAATAAACATTATCATATAATTTGAAATTCTTTTTCTTTTAACATACCTGAAGTAAGAACTGTATTATTAACAACAGTTTTTTGTCTAAATTGATAAAAAAGAAAATAAATCATTAATAAAAAATGAAATGTTTACACATCATCATCTAATAATTCTTCATCATCCAATTGTTTCACATCAGCTAAAAAGTATTAACGATGATGATTTATTAACAAAACAAATAAATATTTGTATATATATGTATACCAGCTAAAATACTATCGTTTTCAATTCCTTGTGAATCACTTATTTCATCATTAACCATCATTTGTACAAGAACTTCATCATCAACTTGTTGACCTATATATAAATCAAAAGGTTCTATTTATAAAAAATGATGATTAGAATTAATCGTACTTATTGAATTAACTCGTTCAATTTGTGCTAAATCTATTGTTGTATCGTCAAGATTTACAAGTGGACTCGATTTTAGTACTTCATCTTTAGGTGGAGGTCTATAAAAATTCAATCAAATATTGAATTTGTATGATTCTTGTTTTTTTTGTTTTATATTAACCGTTTTTCAATATTTGCTTGTAATTTTTCTTGATGACGAATCTCTGCAGCAAATGGATTTGTACGAGGACGTTCTATTAAAATTAATTAAATACTAAACTAATAGTTTTATTTAAGTCATCATACCTGGTGATGTTGGTGGTGTTAAACGATCGATAATATTTAAATTTTCTCGTCTAGTTCGTTCACCATTCCACAGAGCTTGTAAACCTGGATTAGCAATACCTTTACCTATAAATAAATATCGATAGACTACTATTTAACTTCCATAAAACTAACCTATTTGAGGTGGTTTATTACAAATATCATCAATATGTACATCATATTCAAGTTCACAAGATGATACTCGTTGTATAGATGATATGCTATTAGAAAATTCATATTAATTTTGCTAACTTGATTAAGAAGGAAATATTTACTTTGTTGTTTGATTAGTTGCTGTCGAAAGATTGGCTAAATTATACTAATGAAAATTAGTTAAAAAAAGTCATTCTGTTACATTTACTGGTTATTTTTGATGAATTTCGTTCACAAGCGTTATTGAATAATATAAAATTCATTCCATATAAATTATAATCAATAAAAAACTAAATAGAAATAAACAAATTGTTTTCATTTCTAACCATAAAAAATATCTACTTGAAGATTGAATGGAACATGAGCTTCATGTGGTTGAAATTCTTGGTTCATTACAGCACCAGCTAAGAGAAGATCGGCTGCTCTGAAGAAAAAATAACAAAGTTTGAATGAATTTTAATTTTAATAAACAAAAATTAATATGCTAAATAGCATGGTTAGCCTGCAAAATTATGTACTTAGAAAACACTAATGCTTGTTTTCAACTATCGAAAATTCTACAATCAACTCATTTAATTTTCTTCTAAAATTTTAATTTCACTTTCTAAAACTGCTAGAGTGAAATTACGTCGCAAGCAACACGTTGACTTCTACTCCCACTAAGTGAACCTGCATGATTATTTTCCTGTTGAAGACCTGTGAAATCGAAAATTCAAGTTTTTTAAGCGAATTATCTTTCATATGATGTCAATAAAAAACAAAACTTGTCCAAAAATCTTGCATTCATTTAATAAGAAAAACAAAAGATATTTTCCTAATGATTTTTTTTTAAGCTCTCAAAATTTTCTCTTTAATGTTGAACTCTTACTTTCGAATAATCGAAGGATTATAAAATTCAATTTTCCAAAATTTAACCACTTTTTCATGATAACCATATATCGGTCTAAACAAAGCCAAATGATTTTTCTCGATACTAACAAAAGAAAACAAGCTATCTATACAATAATTCAACCAAATTAATATCATGAACATGTTTTGTTTCAGGATTTCCTTTTTCAAATGATAAATTAATCGCCATATCTAAACTTTGTGCCAATTGTTCACCATAACGTATTTCATCCGTTGGTGATTTAACAAGTAAATAAGGAAAAATTCCATGCAAATGAAGACAAACTTTCTTTCCTGAAAAACAAGAGTCATAAAATGTTTCCTTTTTTTCTTATGTTAATTTTTACTAGAGTACCCTCTTCATTCGGTCCAAATATTCGAATGACCGGTACTTGTTTTATCGGATGTCGTAGTTTAGAATACACTGGATCAAATTGTGAATTAACCGATGTTATATAATGATCTGTTAGTACAATTCGTACTGATATCATTATTTAATCTATTTGATTATTTATAGAAAAAGAAAATAGAGAAAAAAATTCATTATATATTTTTTCCGATTGTTATTTATTTTCTTGTTGTCTTTTTTTATTAATTTCAAACATCATCAATGAAACAAATTTTTTTTATGAAAAAACAACGAAAACAGAGTTCATCGATATTAGTTTCTGTAACACCGTTGGCCACTTCTATTTGTTTCCATTTGGATGAATTTGTTTATTTTATTTCGATCGTTCACGCATACCTTAATAAAAGAAAAAAAATTTATTACAAAAAACAAAAGAATTCTACAAAAGCTCATCTAACTTACGTCTTCTTTTACGTTTCAAACGTCGCATTCGTTTCTTACGCCACTTAGCCCGCATCGTTGATTAATTGAAGATGCGAGAGATCTACAATAAAGCGAAACCACAAAAATTAATCAGTAAGCAACCGATGAAAAAAAAAACCATATGAATGAGAGTATGAACATGTTGCTCGGTGAAACATTTTCATTGGTTTCAACAAATGATCATTTCACCTCCATCTGTTATCAAAACGTTTATGCACTTTATAAACTTTAAAAATTAACTTGACTTATTTAAATCAAATTTTCTGAAAATTCCCATTAAAAAATTTAATAAATTAAATTAAATTTATTCAAATGAATATAAATTTCATTTGTTCTCTCTTTGTTCGCGGCTGCCGATATCGTTCATTGAAATATCGTCAGATGTGGTTCATTGTTCTGACGTGATTTTTTTTTTCCATAATTATCAGTGTTCATCTTCCTTTTCTAGATCGTTTCGTTCCCTTTTTTTTAAGTCAAGTCACTGTCATGCGTCCATCAATAAAACGTCCATCAATTATCATACCTCGTCCTACAAAAGCTTCATTAGCTCGGCAATCAAAAATTCGAAATTCTATACTTGGTGCATCAACAACAACAAATACAGCAAATACATTAAAATCAATACAAAATGAAGAAATCAAAAGTGAAAATGATTTATCCGCAATTGGTATTATTAAACAACAAGTACGACGTGCAACTACAATAACAAAAAATAATGCTGTATTTAAACGACGACGTTCATTACATAAATTAGCTGTTATTGTTTCAGGTGCATCATTAGATAATTCGACTGGTGATGGTGAAACATTAAAACAAGTTGTAAGTTAAATTATCTTCATGTTGTTTTTTTTTTTTTTTGTATTATTCATTTCATTTGTAATTAATTATTTTCAATAGATTGTTGCTTCATTAACTGAAAATGTTAAAAAAATGGATATTGTTGAACAATCCAAAAGTAAAAAATTAATTAATAATGATAATAAAGAAAATCGTTCATCAAAACGTCCAATAACAACGACAACAACAAATATAAATGCAATACGAAAAAAAACAGTACAAATACCTATACAAGTACTTGATAAATATACTGCTGACGAAATTGCAATTGAAATTATTGAACAAGCTTTAACAAATGATGATTTACATATAGATGATGATGATGAACCTATTGATCCAACGTATGCTATGGATTATGTTGCTGATATTATGAATTTATTGTATGCATTAGAAAAAAAATATCCTATACAATCAACATTTTTAACAAGTCCATCATCAACAATGACATCATCATTTCCATTAACAACAATGGCTACAATGGCAAATGGGAGTGCTACACGACCATGGAAACTTACAACAAAACATCGAACTATTATTGTCGGATGGATTATACAATTATTTTATGCACGATTTCATTTATCACAAGATGCTATGCATCTGTAAGAATGAATGTTGTTATTTTTTTCTGTTAAACCCTCTACAATAGTAAATGTAAAGATTTCTTAGGAACTTTTTCAATGAAGACTAACATAATTGATCTTCAATGTAATATCCTGATCTTGTTCACTAGACGGAGAGTTTACAATTCGGATAGATAAAATCATTCCTATATGAGTATTCACATAGTCATGAAGATAAGTAGAATTCGGCAACGAAGTAAGATTTACTATCAACAAGACATTCAGGTATTTTTACTCTTACGTAGCACAAAGTCTATTTTTCATATACTATGCAATGAATAAAAAATATATCATAGAGACTTTCTCATCTAGAAAATGGCATAAAACGAAGTATATATGGCTGTCAAACAAGAATCTGACTCCGTTGTGCTCTAGAGACAAGTATTGTAATGCCAAGCAGAATAATATCGGCATTTCATCGAAGTACCCTTTTCATAGACTACATGTAGGATTAGATGTGGACACGGTGATCACAGCGGGATCAAGACCAAATTGTTTTCTGGTCGTGTAAAACTTGTGTCGAATTTAATATTTTTACGACTCCCGTGTAGATTTATCGATATTTTTTTGGCGATAGCTAGAAGTGAGAAGAACGAAACTTACTGTAATCTAACTAGTTCCTACTATTGTCGGCGCCAAAATATAAGGCGGGTGGTTGTTTCATGAACAACTTTTGATAGGAAAGTGAGAGAGACTTGTGATTTTCAACGTTCGATAGCCAAGACCCAGGAGCATCTGTCTTCAAGCGAAGTTTTTTCTGAGGCGGACCTTCAAAATGGGGTTTTCAGAGGGTCTCTGAAAAAGTACGCTGAATTTCCGAAAATTGATATGTAAGCCTGTTGATATTTTTACATACTCGTAATCAACATCAAAAGACGAATGGATCCATATAGGTTTTGAAAATTTTCCAGGATACTTTTTTTCGTCGATTTCTGGAGTCGAATAGATGCCTCAAATAATGAAGTCCGTGAAAATGCCCTTTTTATTGTTTAATTATTCACTATTTTGCTTTTTGACGTCACGTTACGTACTTTAGAGTTGTTTTAAACTTTTCAACTGATTTTTGACCTATTTCAGTTCATGAGACACCCCTTGAACTCCAGAAATCGACGAAAAAAATATTTTCGAAACCTATATGGATCGATTCCTCTTTTGATGCTGATTACGAGTATGTAAAAATATCAACAGGTTTACATGTCAATTTTCGGAAATTCAGCGTAGTTTTTCAGAGATCCTCTCAAAACCCCATTTTGCAGGTCCGCCTCAGAAAAAAACTTTGCTTGAAGAAAGATGTCCCTGGGTCTTGGCTATCGGACGTTGTAAACAGCAAGTCTATCTCTCCTATCAAAAGTTATTCATGAAACAACCACCCGCCTTATATTTTGGCGCCGACAATAGTACCGGCGGCATGTCGAGAATGGTTAGTGATATTTTGAAAACTTGGTTATTGTTCAAAGTTACTCTGAAGTTGTAAAAGTTTGACAGAGAATAGATATGAGCATGATAGTACTGGAATCAAATTGTTTTTTTGTTAAACCGAAACCCAGAGGTGCAGAATCTGCGAATTCGAGGAAACTTTGAAAATTATTGTTTAAGCATGTTTTGTTGAAACTATTGAGTCGATGGAAAATTTTTCATTCGGAAAAGTTTTAATTTTGATGCCAGATTCTGCACTTTTGCCATGTCTTTTTGACAGAGTTAATGAATTTGTTCATTTTTTTTAGTTGTATTGGTTTAATTGATCGTTTTCTTCAACAGTGTATTAATTCCACAACAGCTGGAAGTGGATTTGTTACACAAAAAAATTTACAATTAATTGCTGTAGCTGCATTTCTTATTGCAGCTAAAGTTGAAGTAAGTTAAATTATTTATAATTCTTCAAATTGATTATCGTTATAAACTGCGGAAATAAAATCTTAGCATTGGATTTCAAGAAAAAAAAAAAAATTTTTTTCTTCATCTAGGAAACTCATCATCCACCTGTTGATGAACTCGCATATGTTACTGATCATACATATACAAGTGATCAAGTAAAACGAATGGAAAAAAAAATTCTACATGAATTACGCTTTGAACTCAATCGACCTACAAGGTACAAAACACCTGCTTTTTTTAGTTTAAAATCGAAAAAAAAAGTTTCATTTATTTAATATTTAGTCTTCAATTTCTTCGTCGTTATTCATTTATATCAAGTGCTGGTGATGAACAACATGCTATTGGAAAATTTCTTATTGATATGGCATTATTTGATGTATCATGTATTGGTTTGGCCCCGTCACTTCTTGCTGCAAGTGCAACATTTATAGCACGTTATATTCTTAATCCAAATCAACCATTAACATTTGAACAATGTTGGCCGTATGAATTACAAATTCGTTCACCATATAAAACTTATGAATCATTATCAAATGGTGTAAAAATTTTATCACAATTTATGGATAAATATTTAGCTGGAAATAATTCAAAAGAATGTGAAATACTTATTAAACGTTATGAACATGAACAATTATCACAAGCAAGTTTATATTGTGTACAACAACGAACACTTATTCATAAATTAGCAACTGAAGGAATTTAATGTTATTTCAAAATACTTATCTATCTATATATATATATAAATTCTTTTCTTTGTGTTACTATTGTTCTGTTTATTGTCTCTATTGTTCAATCATCACTGTGCTTTCGAAAAACGATGAATATATATGTTTGTTATTTATATATTTTTTTTTCTGTGCAATCGAATGAGGCCTAATTCTATCTGGTTTCTTATCTTTTTTGTTATTGTTGTTGTATTAGATTCTTGATCTCTAGATATATTCATCATTTCTTATTTTTGAATTGTATAAGACCATTATATTATCATCTTGATTCTTTTTCTTTTTTTTCTCTTTTTTTCTTCTTCTTCGTCTTTGACTTGTGTACGTTCTTCTTTTCTTTTTCTCTTAAAATGGAATAGAAAAAAAAATAAATTGAATTCAAAGAAATAAATATACATATAACATCGAATGAATATTGACTTTTTACAAAGCGCATGTCAACAAATAAAATACCTTTTTCTAGTTATCACCTATGAGAGATTTAGAAGGTGTGAAATAAAATCTAAATTAGTTCTGTGGTAAATCTTTTCTATCTATTCACGCTGTGGTAGATATTCCAGCCTAAATGTTTTGAAAATATTTACAATGGAGACAGATAATGCTCT